CCCCCCGCTCCCACTCCACCCAGTTTCACCTCCAACCCCTGTGCCTGCAGGGCCCAGGGTGGGGATGGAGACAAGGAGAGCCAAGGGAATTCAGGGCCTGCAGGGACGGTGGGGGGAGGTTGGGGGGGACCCAAAGATGCTGAACTGGGGGGAACTGGGGAGCCCAGGGGACTGGGATTGGGGTGTTGAAGGGGCCCAGTGTGGGATGCAGGGGAGGGGAAAGGAATTCAAGTGTAGGGACATAGGGACTGCAAGGGAGAGGCTTGGTGGGGACAGGAGGAGGAGGATGGAGGAGAACAAAAACGAGGGGACTGGGAGATGGTTGGGACTGGAGAGGGAGGCAAGGAATGGTCTTGGGAGGTACCAGGGCAGTGGCCTGGGGGAAAGGCAAAGGTCTGAGGGGAAAGACGGAAAGAAAAGCTTTGGGAATGATCAGTGGGAGGATGTTTGGGGACCCTGGGTAGGACACAGAGCAGATCCTGGGGAGGAGATGCCTGAGGGGACCAAAAAGGATGGGATGGGAGGCCCAAGGGGTGGGATTTGGGAGCACCATTAAAAGAAACAGGTGGGGGCCCTCCCAGCAATTGACAGTGGACCTCCCTTGTCAGGGATTGCTGAATGGCTTCCTGCTGTTGTATCTTTCATTTCTGATAAAACATCACCCAAATACTTTTCAAACAGTGCCTGCCAATGGAGCTGGAAGGCACTCGTTCCATCAAAGCCATATCTGTAATTCAGAGGCATAAACAGAGAATGTAGATTTGTCTCTTAAGGTGCTGTCTCATTTCTACTAGATGTCAATTAGTATCATGTAAAACATGACCATTAAAACTAAAACCTCTTACACTTCTATTTCCCTTTGAAAAATAATTCTGGTGGTAAAACACTCACTTTTGTTTGATTTTTTAAAATCAAAATAAATGTGTGTACCTGTGGACACAGACAGGGCTCCCTCACAGAGAGGCCTATGAAGTATGGGCTGGATGAGCAGACAGCAGGCTGGTGGAAATCTGCTGGCCAGGGTGGTGATCAGGAGTGCAATATCCAGCTGGAGGCCAGTGATTAGCAATTCCTGGTGAACATCTTCACTGATGATCTGGATGATGGGATACAGTGCTCAAGTTTAATGGAGTTGATGAGTTTACATTCTGACAGCAAGGAACATGTTTTCACATCTGAAGCAGGGGATGGGAAACCAGAGACTCACTTTGAACACCAAATGATTTCCAGAGCCTTTCCAGAGCCTTTCATTCAAATCCAGGAATTTTGGATTAAAAAATCCCGATGCTCCTCCATTACTCTGGAAAGGGGATCCTGGTCTTTCAGGAGTGAGGACATTGCTGAATATGAAAGCTGGAGAAGACAACAAGAAATGTGTGACCCTCCAGAAGATGAAAGCCCTGGATGAAGTTGTCAAGAAGTTCAGACCCAATGCCTTTCGAGTTTTACGGTTGTGTCTTAACATTTACTGTAGTTTTTCCCTTGTTTGTCCCCTGAAATTGTTTGATGAAACATCCCCTTGATGTCTGTATCCTTAGACCCCGCTCCCTGATTGGCCAAAGTTGGCTGCATTGCAGTATTTCCTTTT